TACTCATCACCAACGTAGTGCTGTTTATCAATTCGCAGTCAGGCGATGATGTGGCCTGTGTGCAGCTCAGATTTGAACCCAGTAGAAACCACTTGGGCTATTTTTACCCGTAGAGTATAACAACACTACAAAGTTAGTTAGTCGAACTAAAACAGTTCATCGAATTGGGTATAACTACTCGTGTGCGTAGACAAGATTACCGAATTTGTTTTTACCAAGTTAGGTCTGTCGATAACTATAATTGATTCTCAACGATAATTGTTATATTTATTCGCATTTTCAACAGTTTACAACGAAAAGAATAACCACTCATGGTGCTTTCGGTTTCCTTTCCTTTTCAGGTGTATGCACTTTGATATCCGTACACTCCGCGCGCTATTGCATTACCAGCCGTGACTTAATTTCGGATACAGACCATCTGCATGATGGAACTGTCTCTTTGTCTGTATTTCCTAGAGAACGTCGTCTTCGTTCCGCTCTATTCCGAGCGTTAAATACTTCTGGTGTTTCAGCAGATGAACTAGCCCAGACCGCTGAAGTTCGTGAGTGGATTGTGGAAGATTTTGTCTCCCCTGGACTGGAGCTGTTGGTCAGTACAATTGGACGTTTGTCCAATATGGAAGTGGCTATCGAAGCGTCTTATCAGTTGGCTTGTTTGCTGCACGATAACTGGAGCTCATTCGAAAGGTATGATTGGCTCGTGTGATTTCCGTTTTCTAAGTCCTTATTTCTATTGCTCTGTTTTGACATTTAGATGTGTCTAATCCAGTAGATGTAACAATCACACTAAAGAGTTTCCATTCAAATTATCTGATTCGCTCATACTGGATTGTGTCTCTTTCAGTATGGGAGTAACTCGTTATTCGTGAATACGTACCACTCAATTATGATAAAGACCAACCGGAAATCTGGAATTTGAAGTAATGAGCTATGTGAAGTCTTAATACGGTTCCTATGAGACGAAAGCACTACTACTGACCACCAGTATCATCTTTCATATCGCTTGTTGGGGGGACAGCTTATCAACAATCTGTTATCTAACTTTGGCAGGTTTTTTATCAGTACGCGTGTTTACGATGATTTAAAGCCCACAAGTCATTCTTGATAATGTTAATTATATATATATATATATATATATATATATATATATAT